TAACATGCTGAATGTTTGCTAAATAAAAGAAATGTCACAAAGTTAAACATGAGGTCAACATGCTAAATGTTCGCAAAAATGAAAAATGTAAGTATGCTAAGCATTTGGATTTTAACTTAACTTGCTAAATGTTAACAAGAATGAAAAATATAAACAAACTAAACAATAGGATGGTATTTGGCATGCTAAATGTCAGCAAGAATGGGAAATGTCAACATGGAAAACATTAGAATAGTGCTAAACATGTTAATATTAGTGGGAATGAAAAATTGCTTACATGCTAAGCATTTGAATATTAAAATGCTAATTGTTAGCAAGAATAAAAAATGTCACAAAGTTTAACATTACGTTAACTTTGTAAATGTTTGCAAAAAGGAAAAATGTCACTGAGCTAAACATTAGGATGCTAACAAGTGAAACATTAGCAAGATTAAAGAATCTTAAACAAACAAAACATGAGGTTAAGATACTAATCGTCAGCTTTAATAAACATTTACTAAACATTTGAAACATTACGAATGTTAGCGTCTCACTATACATGCTATCATTTGGACAGGCTAATCTTTGTATGCTAATTACTGTGACTAGTATGTTGACAAGCTAACATAAATATGATAAACAGTTTTAGTATCTTATGTTGTATCTAACAGTTAACATGCCTTTTTATGGTCTCTCAGCTTTTCCACACATCTCCATTATACGGATATTGACTTGCCTGTACGCAGTGTTTACGATTCATTACATTACTACAGCAGTTAATCTGGACGGTCTGCTTTATGTGTGAGATTGTCAGCACTAATTCTGCAGTTCTGTGGTCGTGCTTTCCACCGCAGTGTGTCTCGGTGTGAGTGAAATATCGTTGCTCCTCGTTGTTTCTTGTGATTCAGGTGAGGTCAGACCTTCCTGGGTCACTGCAGTGGTTTGTGCATTTGTTAACCTGCTTCAGCAATATTTTTCCTCACCCTGAGTCTGCAATAAAACTGCAATCTTCATGTCACCGGTGCAAGTTCGTTGCCAAATACAACAGTGCCTTCAAATATGTCTTACTCCAAATGTTTCAGAGCCAAGACACAGAGAGTTGCATCATTAGTGGCAGACATTTAAACTTTTGTTCATCTGCTGTGTCAGTGAAAACAGGGATGTTACTATCTAAAAATGGCAGCTTTAGCAATAATTCCCACCTCATCAGATCTGGGGGGCAAAGCCTGACTGTTGAGGCTCGACGTGGCTGAAAAATCAAACGCTTCCTCTTAGCTGCACTAGAATTATCTTAATGTGACATTTGACCCAGTTGTTTCCAGAAACGGGAAAGATTACATCTGGCTCCTCATCCGACCCCTCTGGGACTCGATTATTTAGTGGATAACACACCTGGGTCAGCTTGACAAATTCCCTTAATGTGTTAAAGGCAGAAGAATATTTTTGTAAGGAAGTGCTGAGAATAAAATGAGAAGTTAACTGGGGTTACATTCAATCAAGAATAATGCACACTTTTGTTCATAGAATGGTCAGAAATGAGAGAAAACTGCACAGATTCCTGTTAAATAATAGAAAAAGTGTCACAGTTTCATTGCAGTGTTATAAAGTGACCTGCGATCAGAAAAAGCTGTATTTGCTGGTGAATTATAACAACTTATCTCTGCGGGTAGTGGTTAAAAAAAGCTTGCTTGTTCACAGTTATCACTGATTTTATCTGTTTGTTTCTTGCACTGGTATGCTGACCAGAGGGAGGTGCATAAATATTCAGTTTAACTCAGTATATCTCCAAGATTAAACCAATGCAGGCACTGTTTTCTCCAAGATGGCAGCCAGAACAGCTGCCATTGTGCCGTCCCGATGACTCAGGAGTCTTAGTTTTACGTCAACCTGTTGATTCCCAAAGTTAGAATCTGTAGGAAAACGAGCAAGTGCAGGTCTTTCTCTTTAAATTGTGCTGTACAACATGAGTAATTCACATCTCTGCCCTATTAGCTGAAGCATCTCCTGGGATTGATGAGTTTGTTGATCAGTTCTTGTAATGTTCTCACCTGATTGGAGATGAAACTTTAGAGGGAGGTGCATAAATATCCAGTTTAACTCAGTATATCTCCAAGATTAAACCAATGCAGGCACTGCTTCCTCCAAGATGGCAGCCAGAACAGCCGCCATTGTGCCGTCCTGATGACTCAGGAGTCTTAGTTTTACATCAACCTGTTGATTCCAGAAATTAAAATCTGCCCTGTTAGCTAAAGCATCTCCCCTCACCCTGATGAGGTTGTCGATCAGCTCTCGTGACTCTGCAAACGTTCTCACCTGATTGGAGCTGAAACTTTTCCCCCCCTTCTCACCAATTACAGTCTCAGGTTGCATAATAACACTGTTAACACGCCCCGGTTCCAGTTGAGCAGCTCAGCGCCAACAGAACAAAAGTGTGGTGTGTAAAAGACATTACTAATACGTTCAGCCGCTAACGCCCAAGTGAACTGAGCCGCTCGACTTCTTGAACCGCTGAGAAACGCCACGCTGCCGCAACAACGCAGCGAGCTCGCGTTAGAGTTGCAACATGACATGAAAAAAATCACAAGAGCTATACAGTTCATTCCTTTCATGCTTGCAGGCCTGTCGGACGCCGTATGTCAGGAACTGCTGCATGAGTCGTGCCATGACATTCCACTGTAATAACATGTACTCTGTGTGTGTGTACTGTATTTACAAGCCATAGCGCCCAATCTGGGCTACGAAATGAAAACTAAAATAAACCCGAATATGATAGCGACTTTCAAAAAACAAACAAAGCGAATCCAAGTATTAAAGCCTCACATCTCCAGCCTCAGTCAGTCAAACAGCGGGGAGGAAAAAGCCTTAACGTCGAGCTGAAACGGGGAATGCTGCAGCTATTGTGCATATTTTGGAATTTGTAGCGCTGCAGACTTAGAAGCTGATAATTAAGTTATCAGCAGGGTTGTCCTGGTTCAGAATTGACATTTGGGTGGTGAGAGCACATGGCAGTGAGCATGATCGCTCCACATTCTTTTTATTTGACAGAAAGGTTGTAATTATTTTGTTATTTCTGACCATTTGATAAACAAAAATATCTACAACTGTTCAGTAAATGGAGCCTCAATACACAAATTTGGTTAAAAAATGCGTTTTTTAATTGTATTCTCCATTATTTTGTAATTTTGCTTTGGTGCTGGCTAAAATCTTTTTATGGCTACCAGGATTTGCTTTATCCAGAAAAACCCCTTATATGTTGATTCAGTGCTTTGGTTTGATGTAAAAGCTTCGTGTCTAAGCAACTAGTTTGTTTACCGTGCTGGTGCTAGCACCGATTCTCAATAGACAATCCTGTATGTGGATGTTTCCAAACACGTCCGAGTGCTGTTTTAAGCTTCGGTACGCTCACAGTGTTTGGTGATAAAAGGAGGGTTTTCTTTTTTGGGGTGCGTATACGTGGTGACGGCAAATGTATCCTCGACACACTGCACAAAAATCTGTGGTTCAGATAGACGGAAAAACATATTTCATAATGGGACTACTGGTGCTGTTTTTGTGAAAATTAGACCAAAATATACACCAAGGATTTGTGTATAGCTCAAGTTAGACATGGAAATATAAATGGAAGATCATCATGCTTTCTTTGTATTCAGTGGGTCAATTCAAAATACTGTCAATGGGGGAAAAAAACCAACATTTTTTCTGAAAGTGTGTGAGGACAAAACGTGTCAGTTGCTGGCGTTTTCACATTGTGCTTATTGATCACAATGGAGCTTTGAGTGAACGTCAGGTTGAATAGTCGGACCTCAGACGTGATGTTTCCGGTATATCTCTTAATCTGGGCGAGCAGAAAACGTGATCGGTTTGATTTGACTGAAACTGTTGCCTTTCGTGTTGCTTTCTCTTGTCTAGCTTCGGATGAGAGTCAATCTGTCATGTGGTTTGTCCGTAGCTTTGGTTCAAGCTGGAATACTTCTGTGACTGCCGGTTGGATCACCAACGTTTTGTACAAGGATTTGTAACACCAACACAAGACATTTTTATTTTTTGAAATGATCTGTCTCAACGACTATGAAACAGATTGCAATCAAACCGATGCTGATGTTTGTGTCCCTGTCAAGTTAATACATTTGGAGTCCTTGTGATATAAATGTATATTATCTTAATTTAAATTTAAATGACACCTGAAGGAAAGGCCTCAGCAGCAAACTCTTAAAAGTTCATCGACTCCAGAAGTAAAAGCGAAGAACAAAACAGACACACGAGATCTCACAAAGATGTCCTCCAAGAACAGATTCGCATATAAACATTGGTTTTAATTTAAAAACGCTACCAGGGCAGTGGTGTTTCCGCTCTGCTGTGTGGAGAGCAGTTGTTCAAGTGGACTCCTGTGGATGGATCCACGGTGTCCACAGCTGTCTGTCCACAGTGAAGTGTAATTAAGGGTTATGTGACATGACTCATGATCGGATTCAATATTCCGCATTTTTCCAATTACAAGCGTTGTTGTTTTTCTGAAACCGCTTCAACATAAATTAATTTCAAAAAGAGCCACTCTGACGGTGATACAACCATCTCTCTGTATCCCTGTGTGGTGTCGAGCAATGTCCCGCCCTCAGAGCTTTCTGATTGGCTGCTCGTCTTCTATCTACCACAGCAGAAACAGACAAACTTCACACCTGGAAGAAACTTACAAACAACACATATAAAGTTATTTTTCAGTAAAAAGTAAAAATTGGCACCATTAGCAGATATAAACCTCATCTTAGCAGTGCTCTAAAAGCTTTTGAGTTGTTTGTACGGATCTGAGAGTATTGACGTGTTGCTTGTGAGGCCTAATTAACGCCATTAGCTAGCACACCTGCTGTTCATTCACCTTCGCCTGCTCCTCATGTTTGTTTTCAAGAAAAAACTAAAAGAGTTTTAAAGAAAAAAAGAAGCTTCTTACACCTGTCAGTAGAGTGAACCATGTGTGACTTGTGGTTCTGGCGTCACCGCTAATAGCCTCCCAGCACCAACGGATAAGTGTTGGAAAGTTTCTTATTTAATAAAACACGTATTGAAGTTTGTGTTTTCTGCAAATATATATCACATTCAAATGCCGGTTATCGTCCTCCTCAGATGGTGATAATCAACTGTTGAATCAGCCGTAATAAACCATCGTGGCTGACCTCAGCTACAGCCTCTCAGTCCTGTTTAATAATGACACATTGCACAATAAAGCCACCAGACATATGATACTGCCTCCTTACTGTTGCTCTGCATCATTGTGTTTTGAGCAACTTCCTCCAAACATCCTCCCGTCCCGCCGATGTCATTGAGCGAGAAGCAGGAAACTTATGAATGAGGCCATCCGCGAGGCGGCTCAGACCAGATATATTTATTGCGGGGATTTATCTGATGACCTCAGCATGTGCCAGAGTGAGCTGAGACCACGCCAGACGCTTTCGGCTGACAATATTGACGACTTGTTCAATTGGGCAAAAAGGTTGTTTCCTTTCGCCGTCCTCTCGCAAGCTTCCTGACATGGAAGCGATGCGGGCCAACGATTTATCCTCGTGCGAAGGACTTAAGATGTCACCGCTGACCCCTGAGCTGACGTACTTTTGCCCACTTTCGAAGCCTTCTCAGAGGCTCGGCGGTGACGTGCAGCAGAGACGTGATAGAAGATCAAAGATGGCATAATCAAAGTTACCTCCGCTTGACACTCATCAAAATATCAGCCCCACCTGAATATTTTTCAAAGCTACCCTGATGAAACGCAGTCAAAAGAAGCTGATGTGAATGTTTGAATGCGCTGCGATGTAAAATCAATGACATTTTTCTCCTTCTTGTTGTGTGCAGGTACATGGGCATCGGCCTGTCTGCACAGGGAGTCAACATGAACAGACTGCCTGGTGAGTAACGAGAATGATTTTACCTTCACATAACCAGTATCAGATTGATTCAGCAGGTACAGTGACAGTTTTTGTAGAGGTGGTCGGGCTGAGATCTTTACTGAGGTGGTACAATTTCTTGCAATATGTTCCTGCAAATTATTATTTTGCCAAATAGTCTTGGTCACTCATTTTTATCATTCGCTTGTGCAGGCAAGACTGAAATATAGAAGCACACGAGAGCTTATATGCAGTATAATGAGCTTTATGATCTAATCCTGAACTGGAACGGTGGCTTCAGTTTTTTCAATCTAGAGCAAGCTCATCGGTAGGGATCATTTTCTAACTGAAGAAAAATTTGTGGCAGGATGTTCAGGATGCACATTTTGAACAATTGTCCTTAATCAATAATTGGCAGCTTTATCCAGCATAATAAACTAATAGACAACAATTTGTGCACAGTGGACATTTTTCCCGTCGCTGATTGTGCAGTTTTAGACGTTATTATGGCCACAAAGGCGGCTCTGTTACATATGCGGCAGAGATATAAAAGTTACTGTCCTGGTCGATCCCCGCCGGCCGAAAGTCACTCAGTGTCACAGAAGTCTTTGTCATGGTGTCCCGTTGCTAGCTAAACCCCCCACAGTGCCAACATGAACTTCCTATTTCCCGAGTGACCGCCGCCTCTAGTCGCTGCACTGTAGAACAAAGAGGCTCCACCTGGAGGAACAACCAGGTACTACAGCTAATCGACAACATGTTTTCTGAGATGCAAACAGGTTCTCTCTGTATTTTCGGAGCTTGTGGAGCCACGAACACCCTACCGTCTAACAATGTTCCTACGTAACATTAATAACAGTTTGGATACAGAAATTCAATTATTTTTTTCTTAATGCATTGCAGAGCTATTTACGGCTATACACAGGATTGTGTTTTTGTATTACTTTATTGCACCTGTAGTGTGTATTGTTTGAAAAAATGGTGCAGGATTGTGACTCAGTATCAGCAGAAACTAAATATTAATTGATGTAGATTGGATCAAGGCATCCCTACTCAGAGGATAATTACAATTTATGTGCTATAAGATAAGACATGTCAAAATTGGCACAAGTTTGTGTCCATCCAGCCTTTGGTTTCACAATTTTGTTCTTTTAGACGCAGGTCCTGGGTCAGTCTTGTATTGTTTATCAGTCTATACCACTTGTTTCCAGAGCTCTTCAAAATAGTTTTAATCCCTTCAGTCTTGCGAGAGCTTTAACTAAATCCACAGACAAATCTGCATCATTCTAACAAATAAAAACACGTGCAGACAGATTTTGTATCTGCACAGAGAAACAGATGAACTTGGATGCTCTCTGTAGGTGTAAACATTTTCTGGTTGGTCAGAATCACTTGGTTGTTTTGGTTTTGGTGGTAAAAATGCAACGGTTTCGCAAAAAATAAAAAAAAAAGTTCTGCCAGAAAACTAGCAGTTCCTCAGTATTGGTTTTGAAGGGTGTCCAGACTTGGTTGCCGTGGCCACCCTTGGCTCCGCCCCCCGTCTTGGATTCAATTTAAGGATGTTACCGTGGACGGCAGAATTTATTGATGGAAGGACAGCAGAACAACAGGACAGCAGAGTCCACGTTCGTCGGAGTAATCAGCGAAATGGGGTGAAATGAGGATTCCCAAGGTCACCCAACACGCCAAGCGCTTCATCACGCCAACGTCCAGCAATAACGTCGGCTCGCTGGGCCGAAGCCAGAATTCCAGCCACTTAGCAGTCGGATCGGACCGGCGCTTTGGCAACCCGGGATGAAAAAAAAACCCCACCCGGCGTCGCTCCGTTCTTTTGTTCAATATTTGCGACAGGCAGGACAGTCTGCACGGCACAATTAGGCAGCTCTGGATTGGCTGCACAAAAAACCTTGACCCTGAACTTTTTCTAATTACTTATTGGCCAACGGTTCCATCCCTCTGACCTCATTGGCTCAGATTACAATCAAGCATTGACGGGGTTGTGTTTACTTCGCAGGCCTCGCAGAATGGGGAGGTTTCTCATCAACCTTGCAAACGCTGGAAAGAGGGGCTTGATTATTATCACTTAGTCATTGTTTTCATTCAGGGAGCGGATATTTTTAGAGCCGAAGTAGGAGAAGGTGTGTTTGCATGTACGCGTGGAGTGCAGTATACGAAGGTAGATGAAAGGAACGGAGAAGAAATTGATTTCTGTGGATAAATGAAAGTAGCTGGAGAGGCGCCAGCGTTTGTGAGATTTGGGGATGAAAGCAGGAGGAGATGAGGATGGGAGGCGTTTCTGTGGTAATTGGATGTAGTTGGTTTGTGGAACAGTTTGACAGCGGCAGAAGGAACATGTCGGGGCATGTCGCCGAGCAGTCATATGGATCGCTGACAGACGTGGACTCGTGGCGTCACTTCATACTAATCCGATTTAAGACAAACACTGCTTCTCACTTCGTAATGATAGATTATTTTTGGCTCGGGCAAACATTTTGATTAATGCTATGTGGATGTTTGTACACAAGGTTTTTGTCTGTGTGCTTTCCTCATATGTAAAGGGGTGTTTTTATGGCGAAGACATTTCACCACATAGACCATGGTGGAAAATACCATCTAAGTGTCAACTTGTACTCTTTTGCTTGACGAGCGTTAAACTCTGAAACCCCAAAAAGTTTCTGGGCAACTTTAACTCATGTGGACTCATTTTTCACTGCAATATAAACTAATGCACCTCTATGAGAACAGCACAGCTATGAACAGAAGTAGAGTTCAGTACAACAAAATTATAATGCCATAAATTATATATTTAAAAAAAAAAATTTAAAATAGAAAAAAAGTAAAATTTAATTTCTTTGATGATACAAAAACTGATTTTTAAAAAATCTATATTTAATATTTTTCCAATTGAAACAGGTGTAGCCATATAAAATGGTGTCTTTACATACTACACATATTTTACTACTTATGATTTTTATTTATTTCCATTCTTGTCTGAGATCCGCTCTGTGTAAACAGAGCCTGCAGTTCAACCGAGTTCCGTCTCTGAATTTTTGACACGTGGCTGCTTGTGGCAGCTTAATTTTCTGATGGCATCTCAGTTGAGACGTGGAGCACAGAATTTTCTGTTTTTTACAGAATCGATCCAGACCAAGCTGTTTATTTATGGCAGATTTTTATTTTATTTTTTTAAAATGAGACGTGTATTTTGTGTATTTATTTTTGTATTTTATTTGATTTTAATGAACTATCACAATTTTAGGATTATATTTGGTGAAGTTTTCCAATGGAACAACCATCGGAAGGTTGAAAATGCAATGATTCTCTCTGTTTTTACTTTTTCTGACTGATAAATTATGTCAGTTTGGTGATTTATTTAATTTTTTAATTTTTTATAGATAACATGCCTTTCAAACCCACTAGCGGTTTTGAAGGTCATCGGCTAATTTCATGTGAAATATTACATGAATAAATCCTGGTAAACTATTAAAAGCTCAATTAAAATCTGTTATTTAAAAGCATAACAACACTCAAAAGGTGTTAGTGGTGGAGAGTAGTACCTATATACTAATCTATACATTTCATTCCAGTGCATTCGTCTGACATCTTAAGGTACATTTGAAATGAAGATTTTATACATATAACAAGCTTTAAAAAATATTTCTGGCTGCTTCCAAAAAACAGTGTATAGTCAGGCTTTCAGATGAATAACAAACAGTGATTTTTCCCTCTAAACTTCTCACGTGGTTTCATTTCACTAAATGATAATCTAATATCTCACCAAACATCAAAGTTGTGAGAAAAAGTCAGAAAACTGGATTTGTGAATCAGATCTTTTTTTTTCCTTTTCATTAACTCTGTGACAAGAACTCAGATTTATCTGCCGTCTCTGTATATAAAACTGTATTTAAGTAGTTCAAACTATCTACTGCTGCAGAAACAGTCATTAGACCTTGAAGAAACTTAAAAACAACACAACCCCCCCCCCCAAAAAAAATTGCCACTCTAAAAGCTTTTAAGTTGTTTATATGAATCTGCGTGTGCGGCGTATTGACATGTTGCCTGTGACATTAGCTTAATTGATTCCATTAGTTAGCACACCTGCTGTTCAATCACCTCCACCTGCTCCTCGTGTTTGTTTTAAAGAAAAACTGAAAGCGTGGAAACACAATATCATCCCCGCTTTTTAAATCCAACAATGCGTTTGTCAAAATTAAAGCAGCAGAAGACAAGAAATGCTGTGGTTTTTTGAACAGAATATTGAATTCTACTTTATTTATGAGTAGATTTTCAAAACAAAAGAACAATTTCCACTTATTCAGACCCATTTTTTATGTGTATTCGGACATCCCAAGTGCTCTCCTGTTTTCTTTGTTTCTCTTCATTTTTGACCAAAAAATTCCCAACAAATCCACCATATATTCACCTTCTGAACCCTAAAACTCCAACATTTAAAAAGAAAATCAGAGCCAGAAACTGTAGAAATAATTTCAGATGGTCACGTGTTCAAATCATGCGTGACTTTTGGTTCTGTCTAAAATAAATCCAAATCTACGCTTGGAATCGGGGTATTTCACCAAAATCCCTTCATTCTACATTTGTCATCGAAAAAAAATGCCCAAGATGCACCTTTTAAAATATATTCTGTAAAAGCACTATAAATTCTGTGCTCCTCAGCGCAGCAGAGAAACCACGAATGACTCAGCTGTGACCAACATTCGGGTCAGAAATATTCAGGGACTGTTTGGCTGAACTGCAGACAGTGTTTATGTATAGCAGTGTGGTGACAAATTAGAGTATAAATCATCCTGAAGTAATAAAGTCAATGCAGCATGGCTCACAAAGAGCATGCAGAGGAGCAAGCTGAAGATACATTCGACACGGTGAAACATCCCTCTTTAGTGGTGTGAGCTCATTCATAGAGGTTGTGAAAATGTTAATAGTTAAATATCTATAGTGTGTGGAGCCAGGATGTTTTTTTTCTCCAACTGTGGTAACGCCTGTGGTCTTTGGATTTATGTCAT